CACATATAAACAATATTTTAAAGTAATGAGAACCTTCATCAGCACAAAACAGTGCTGTCCACATAACCCTGTGGCCATCGCAGGTCCATGTCCTTGAATGTTAGAGCAATACACTGTGTTCACCTAATGGTGTTTCAAATGGCACCGTGAGCTGTATGGTCCATGTGTACATGGCAGTCTGGTATGGAAGGAGGAAACCGCTGTAGTACAAATTGGTAGTGGAAGAAAATGGAAATTGGTAGTGGAAGAAATTGGTAGTGGGCACCCAGACAGTACATTCAGGTGATCTGAACACATCAGAAGCAGGACGGGCTGCTTGGGTGAGAGAGGGCATGAAGCCTTGTAACTAATAGGGGAGGTCTCTTTTCTGAATGGTGGGATTCAGAGTTGTAAAGAAAGTGAGAGGTAAATTGCAGCTTTGACTTCCCTGTAAACAATCTAGAAATGTGGATGCCACAAGGACATTTTCCCCAACATTTTATCAAAATTTTCAAACACACAGCCAGGTTGGAAGAGGCCAGGTGTTTTTGTTGGGGTGAAATGAATGGCTGTACTTTATGCATCTGAAGAAAATAAAACTATTTGAGTGTATTATTCAATAGAATTTCATGGAATCCTGTGTAAATTATAACAGTGCACATGAAGGCACAGAAGCAGCCAGATACGAGCTTGGGGATGGAGGAACCTGGTGAAGAAGGTGCCAGAGTCCATGATGGACCTTGTTTGGAGAATGAAGCCTGCTTGAGGCAACTGAAATGTGCAGATGGGCAGTAAGACGTCTTCAGAGAATGGGTCCTTCTGGTCCAGTACAACGTGCTGTATGTCTTCTCCCCTCTCGGAATTAAAGCGAGTCTCTTGAGATTCTGAGCCACAGAAGAGATCACATTTTCCCCTTCCTAGGAGAGGAGCCACAGGGATGAAAGGCTATATTTATGCTCAGCTTATTTTCAGAAGCCCTGTAGGGAAAGCACAGAAATGTGGGTGTCGTAAGTTGGGCTCCCAGCATAGACTCCTCTTTGAACCACATCCAGAGTTTTCATGAAGAATTTAAATCTGATGTGGGGGATATAGGGCTCAACCATGTTGTCCGCGGTGGTTACTGGCCTTCTTCACTGAAGTATCCCCTCTGCTGTGAGGACTTGGCCCTTCGCCCTTTTTGCAGTCAGCAGCCCGGCCATGTTCCCATGTCCGTGAGGTCCCTGTGCTGGTATGTGCACATGGTTTCGTTAACATTGACCTTGAGGTTAAAGCCAGGTAAGAATGATAATACATACACCCATGTTACGCTTTCCAAAGCTGTCTCTGCTGTGATATCTCACATCCTCATCTCTGGTGTCAGTGTGGACTGGATATTGGAATCCCAGTTTGTAAATATGAAGACTTGATTACAGGGTTGGCGATTTCGCTGGGAAGCATTGTCTAGATGCTGTAGCCTTCAGGTTGTTCCCCTGGTCATGTGGCTTATCCATGGGGACGAGCTTTGTATTAAGAAGCTTTCACTTCCATATTGTGGCTGGAATTGCATTGTTATAAAACAAGGAATTAACATGACTTGATTTTACTATACCTTAAAATTTCCAATTTTCATTATTAAAAAAAAGATGTAGAGGGGCCCTGTCCAGTATAATAGCCAGTAACCACATGTGGTATTGAATTTAGTTAAAGTTAAGTAAAGTTTATTAATAACTTAACGTTTATTAATAACATTAAAGTTCAGTTCCTTAGCTTTACATTCCATCCTTCTGACATTCCATGGTGGCATGTGGTGAGTGGCTACCATGTGAAATGGTGCAGATGTATCACCTTTCTATTATTGCAGCAAGATCTGTGTGATGGTGCTTAGGGGGGTTTAATTTCCCTTCAGTGTGAATGGTAGAGCTGATCACCTCCTTTCAGCTGTGATTTTAAGGGCTTCTATTACTTGATAATTCCTCAAAAGAAAGTAACAACCAGTATGTATTGTTATATAAGCAGTATATTTAGGTGTATAACAAAAAAAACCCAAACTCAACTGCCGTCGAGTCAGATCTGACTCATAGCAACCCCTCCTTGGGTTTCCACGGTGGTATCACTATAGAAGTAGATTGCCCAACCTTCCTTCTGAGGAGTGGGTGGTGGGTTTGAACTGCCAGCCTTCTGGTTAGCAGTCATATGCCTTAGGCACTAGGCC